TGTGTGTGTGTTTTAATTTCAAGAAAGAATGTTGTTAGAAGAAATGCAAAGTTATGTTGAAATGCGAGCCTTTCACTTCCAAATCTTGGAGCTCTTTTTTCACTTGAAAATAGAAGGCTCACAATTTTGCAGTCAAAACTATCACTAGACTGCATAAGCTGGATTGTTGGATGATAGGGGCTGTTACATAATTAAGACCACCTCATTCAATGATTAATATTGTACAATATGATACAATTTAGATAGTGAAATGCTATTTTATAAGAAAATAAATTATCTAACTCTTTTGATATGGATGATGGTGTGGTGGTGAGAAATCATGGTAACAACAACTAACCAAACAAGTGAAAGCAGTAAGCTATTATACCAAAAACAATGGATATGCAAAGGTTGTGACAAATTGTTTGATGGACTACCATAAAACCATTAATATTAATTGTGTGAATTACTTTATGGTTGAAATTATTGTGTTGCCCGAAATAATGTTATATGATTAGCAAATGTCATCGGTTAGTTCACTATTTTTCTCTAAAATTTGTTCTTATTTAATTGTATGTGATTTAAAAGTAACCATATAATGTAAAATACCATGAAAATAAAATAGTAAAGCTATTAGGTATCTTGACGTTATGCACTATAAAAAAAAAAAATCAAAACAGTCTAACTCACATCTTAAAAGTAAGTTATTTTAACAATTTATATTATTTTATTAAGATTACTTAATTTTAGAGTATTATTTTTAAAATTTTTAAAGATTCTAATAGTAAACCATTTTTCTTTAATATTTTTAATTTTACTTTTGTAATTTACTATGTAGATAAAAACGTCAACTTTCATTTTCTCATTCTCATTAATTACATGATTAAAATTAAAAAAAATTACTACATCTTGTAAAAAAATGTGAGTTACTAGATCTATATTTTACGAAAGGAAGAAAATAAATTAGAGGTTGTTGATCCCAAAATCAGTATTCAACAGGCCCCCATCAGCCTCCAAATCTAGAACCCAAACCGAAAACTACGTGGTGATTGGTGAGACAAAGAAGAAACCTAGGACCAATCCACCTAGAAATGGCAAAACCCATCTCCAAACCGCCACTTGCAATATAAGCAAAATTTTAAAA